CCCCTACACGTATTTAAACTGGAAGCCTTGCCCAAGCAAAGGTTCAGCATCTAGCCAAGGCTAGAAGTTTCAAAGCAATAGATAATGTGTAGCCTCCTGAAGAACTCACTTGTTCATACTCCGTTTAATTCCTACAGCCTTGCAGAATCCAGATAGCTGAAAGGAGCTGAAATAATCTCCAGATCAACTAAATAATAATAATTCATGATACTAAAAGAAAATAGTCTTTAGCTTGGCAAAATAATATGTAGGTTTCAATCAAGCAAGCAGTATAAAACTGAGTCATTTTAGCTATCGTTAACAGTGGCAATAATTTAAGAAAATTCATTAAAGAACACCTTTGGGTAACATTACTGCTAATTATTTAATTGCAAGCATTCCCAAGGGAAAGCACGTTAATTATAAAGTAATAAAACCAGTTGTTCTAAAGCTTGATTCAGCAGATTTTATTACCAATTTAGTCTTTTTTTTAACAGCAAATTTCTTAAATCATCTGATAAAAGCGAGAGCAACAATTGTGTACATCCCCTTTATGTTACTAATACATAAGAGCTATATTGTTGTATCATTATTGATTTATTCCTGATTTATAAATCCAGCTAAGTTGAATAAATGCTGTGAACAAGTTTACCCCTCTGACCTTAAAAAAAGCAAATGAACACCAAAACTGCAACAAGATTCAATGTGCAAAACAATTTTTAATAGATGCAAATGCAATACTGTATATGTCATCCTTTACCCAGCCAAGTCAATATTAAAACAAATCTGTTACCTGTTTGTTATCTTGCAGCTGAGTGCAGCTTTGAGAGATGGCCTTATGCAACCAAGTTCTCTCCTTACTTATGGCATCCTGCCTTTCGGAGATCTTTGTGTAGCATACTTTGTGCCTATACTTGCACAAGAACCAGACATGAGACCATTTTAAATTACCCTTACAACCTGAGAAATTAAACTGTGTTCACAGTAGCCAATACAAGTTCTACCTTTCTCCCACCAGTTTTTCAAGAGGTCAGAAGTTCTGTCTCTTCTTGTTTCTCTAAAACCTACTCCCATTCACCCTGTCGGGACACCTCATTTAAAAACTGAAATCAAAACTGTTGAAAACATCTTTCTGTGATTTGTAAACCTTGGCATAAACCTTATGTTAATGGCTTCTTGTACTAATCTTTGTGCAGTAAATCTTTGGGGAATTAGTACTTTGGTACTTGCTATTGTTTTTATTAGGGTAAAACCACTTCAGCAGCTGTTTTCCTTTTGTTTTTCACACCGAAGACAGTGTTTTGTGGGAAAATGTATACTTCCATAATGTGGCACCTGATTCTTTTAATTCTTTTTTGTATCTATACTGACATTTATGTAATCTAAACCAACCCAGGCATGCATGCATTATATACATGCTGCATGTGTTCCTTTTAATAAGGTGTCCCAAAGAAAAATACATTTATATTATATGTGCACAGAAGAAAATGAGGTGGATTTCAAACTTCAGTTCTTAAAGAAGTGTGCCAGAAGTCTAACTGAAAACATTTTTCCTGCCCTTCCTATTACAGTGAAGCAAGAGGACGTGAGTCCAAATGAAGTCTATAATTTGATTTTTGGTGCTTTTAGTTTCTGCATCACTTAGTTTGGCTCTGATATTGCTTTACTTAGAAGGTAATTGCTGTGAGTTAAAGTAATAAGTATGTGCTTTCTACTACCTCAAATGCAGCTGATGATAACAAAGTGAATAAAATAATAGGTTAATTGAAACAAGCATTGGAATATAAGGACAAGCAATATTCTGAGAGGAGTGGGAAGAGCCAAAGTTTCTAAAAAAATTAAATATATAGGGAAAAAAATTGCAGAGAAGAAAGTATATTTATATTTTAAAGTATGGATTTTTTGTTGTAGTT